TACATCTTGGCTGCTGAGTGGAATGGAACTCTTCAGAAATTCCTTTCAACGATTTGTGCAATTAGGAAAAAGAAGCCATAGGGTATTATCAGTATAAGTAAAAGAGTTGATCTTGTAACCTAGTCATTACATCAGTTTACTTTGTGGAGAGCTCTTCGAAATATCTCTTCAAAGGAGGAGGGAATATACAACAAGCAGAAGATTTGGAATATCTACTGTAACATTTCTGACCTTGATACCGCATTAATCAGTGACTGGAAAACTAAATCTGATGAAATACATTGATTAATAGGATTTAATGATACATAGTAAAACTACCTGGCAAAAAAAACTATGTAAACATTTTGGATTAGATATAAGTATACACACTCAATATGTCGCTGGATGCAACAAATATGTCCTCGTTGAAATGGGTTATGCATAGCCAGGGAGGCTACTATATATATAACTGTCACAATGATGATTTTATACAGACAAGCAGGAGAGAGACTTATTACAGGTAGGACATTTGGAATTAGGAACTTTGTATGGTACTTTGTATGAGGTGGGCTAGTATGCCTTTCAGAATCATAGTATGGACATAGGCACATTGCCTTTCAGAATCATGCAGGTCCGATTGTCTTAATCGTTCTACCAGCTTGGCAAAGGAGAATTCTGCCTCTATGTCATCTACCTTTCTTTTCATTTTGGGAGATTTTGAGACCAACCATACCCAGTCTTGTACAAACCCCTGTGTTGAAGCCCTCTCATCTTTTCACATTGTTCCCTTACCTTGACCAAATTAAATCCTTAAGAGATAAGGTGGTCATTTAGGTAAACTTGATTTTGTTGGGAAAGAACAGGGGAGTGTAACCCTATGATTCAGTCATGAGGTCAAGAGGAAATCAGTATCCCATGTATTGGTCCTTTATAGAATGAAGTGTCTGCAGATGTGCTATACATGTGTACTGTATGGCCATTATGTTGGGGATAAGATATGGGATTTATCTTCAAGTGGGGCAAGATTCAAGATTTATCTTGTAGAAGGTGATAACATCCATGTAGCTGTTCACGTAAATCCTTCTTATTTTGTTATCTGAACCTTATGCTATCTTAACGTCATTGGATCTTGTGGAGAAATGTGGGTGAACCACTAGTACTGTTTATTCTGTAATCTCAAGTTCTTTCATCCAACATCATAAACGGAGATATTTCAAATTGTAATGATTGTAATCGCTTTTATATCTATATACTTACCATAGTTCTATGTGTCCTTTATACATAAAATTTGGCATTGGCATTTGCCAAATACCCCCAGGATTTTTAAGTTGATACCACAAAAAGGGGAGAGTTGGAATTGTGGTGGACCATCATAACTTATCCTTGTAATGTCTGAGAGAACCAGAGTCCTTTTCAATGACTGATATCAATGCTTTGTCATATTATGTAACTACCAACCTTGAATTACAAAAGCAACGGTACAATCTTCTTACACTTTGTTTTGAATTTGACAATATGACAAGGACACTAGAAGAAAACATTACCAATTCAACTTTTTTATTTCTGACATTTACTTACAGGATGTGCAATGTTTTCTATTAGTGCTAAAATTATCCAAGAAACCTAAGATGTCCATGACCATCTGGCCAATTAGGTGATATGGTACTGACAAGTGAGGGCCATTATTGTCAAAACTTGCAGATGGAGATCATTTCAACTTTTTGTATTTTTCTGTCCTGAAAATTCAATTTAATTTGAATTTGCATAAAGTTAATGAATGGGAATATTGTTTTTTTTTCATAGTTAATAGTTGTTTTCATTGTGAAGAATAAATTAAACATAACATGTTCAAGTTGCTAGAAAGGGGTTACATGTGTTCCTAAGCATCTTCACTCCCTGTGAGCAAATGCTATAAGCTATAGGGTCAGGTTTTAAAATGCAATATAACAAGGATAAGAGTGGAATTGTCAAGGAATAAAGTTGTCAGCCATATGAAAGACATTCTAAATTGTATAGAAATATTAGAAAATTGAATACTTCATTCAAATTTTAGCGAGAAATAGAGAGAAGTAAGCATGAGCAGACGGACATCTTAGTGTCTACATATGATGAAGTAGCTCTGTCTTCACACATTGAAACAATTAAGAGAAACAATAGAGGTCCAGTTAATGCAACCCTTTGATGTGTCATTTCAAGTCATGTTGTGGTCAGACAGAGGGATAGGGGGTGACTAGGGGTTTGGAACATTGGCCCTAATTAGTAGGGAAAGGGAAACACAGCCATTTCACCAAAATCTGTTTGGATATCACAGTTTATAAAGCTAAGCCAATATTTTGACATTGCTGTGAAATTGATTGGAAATTAATGAATGTTTTGCCAAGTTATGTTTTGATGTGAATGGATTAATTAGCTTCATATCATAACATGTTCATATCATTTTTTCCCATCAATAATTTTCACAACCTTGTCACCATCACCAGGGTCAAAAGTCACTTTTATAATTAATATCATTTGAATGATTTTGTGTCATTTAAATCACTGTTTCCTGTACTTAAGAACAAACATGTGTTATTTTTTACAAGGGGATTGGGTTTAAGTGTTGTTCAGTTATCTTTGCTGCCAGATGTTGAGAAATCACAAACAAATTGTGATTGTCATGTACAACAACAATTAAGACATATTCATGACAAATGAATGCTAATTAGATATAGGATTCACATTACTAAACAAAACTGGTCTTGTACTTTTGGATTTGATTCTGAATGCATTGATGGCTACCTTGGAGTCAAAATGAACAGACTTTAAAAGTTATGCATGTCTGTAGACAGTGTGCAATCACAGGTTCTTGTTACAAACAACCACTCCTCCCTAACATTTACCCCGAGGATATTTCAAACCAACCTTTCTAGAAAAATAAACTTTAGTGAATGTTGATTAAATTAAAACTTACAAACATTAGCTACCCTTGAAATATGAGAGCTCCTGATGAAATCTGACCATGGATTTATTAATGCTTGATTTGCTCTCACTGAATATTCATTGAAACTCCTCCAAAAAATTGATGTTACGCAAAGTCTTGGATTGAGCGGTGACAATTTAACAACGAAAACAAAGAAATTCATAACAGAGGCATGTTCCAAGAATTTATTTTTGTATAACTTTGGGCATTTGCTGAATATACCCGCTGGCAGTGGATTATCTCATTATTTAAGTTAAATGTGTGGTTAAATTCATCACAATATTACTATTCTGGGTCTGTTATTAACAACAATATAAGCTATAAATAAACACTCACTTTCTACTATAAAATGACCGTCTGCTTGCATTTATTTACATATTTTTTCTCTTAATTTTGAATGAATTATCTGATTTTTAGGTGTATCTGTAGAATTTAAAGTTTTATCTTCATACCCAAATATTCGATTCCTTGTTTATTTCGCACTTTTCCACTCTATTTTACAATTCAAGCGATGACCTATGGTAGGTTTTACCCAGGGGCATTTACTGGATTTCCAGCCTCTTCTCAGGCTATAATCGTGTCCCAAGGCTTTATTTAGTTCTTGTTAATAATATCCCACTAATCCATAATTCAATTTCAATTTTAATATAAAAAATTAATGATCGGGAAAATTGCTCACAACTGTAGTAAATTTTCTTGGGAGGTTCTAAGAAATATTTGAATGAATGTGATATGTTTAAATTCATTTGTTTGGTGGTAAGAATGTAGGAACTATTTGTTATGCAAGTCCACACATCTGCTACAATGGTTGTCATGTGTGCTTCTTTGTCTGTGTATTTGTACCCAGCTTGGAAGATGAAGATGGTAAAGCCAGGAATTTATAGAAAAATTAATCCGAATTACATTTTCTTGTTGTTTTCCTTTCATTAGCTTCCTCAATGCTATGGATTACACAGAGAGTACACAGTTTAAAAAATCAACACCCACTGTCTACATTTTCATAATCTGGTATTTTGTTCTTTCTGTCATAATTTTTCCGTCTGCAAATGATTGGTGTATTATGGGAGTTGATAAATGCATTCTGGGAATTGATAAATGAATTCTGGGAGATTTACTGACGAACCAGACACTTTACTTGTCTCTCTTATGGTAAATGGTACCCAAAATGCTATAGATCATCTGGGAGTAATTAGCAGATTTCTGTTTTGACCACTGAATAACATCCATCTTATTTTGTAAATCTATTAGAGTTCATCAATCATTTATATAACAACAAAAATGGAAACTGTCCCATATTTTCTCATGTGCTAAATGTGCTCTTCATCAGTAAGCTTGTTTTGTGGATCACTTTTATTGTTTCTTTTAATATGGGATTTTTACCCGGGTTGCTCAACATCCATTTTTACCCTCAAATTCCAAGATGTCCCCTCCCTGACCAAACACCATCCCCACATGTACCAGTAAAGCAAGTATAACAGTCACTTTGTCACTAAAATAAATAACCCTTATAACATTCCAGGATCAGAAAGGGGCATGACCAAAAGTTGGAAAATCAATTTGTGGCAGATCTTGTAGAAATCAGTCTAAAATTAGAATACTGAGATTGTTATGGGTCAAAAGTACAATGTTGTTGTAAACTTGTCATTTAGGTCTACCTTGATTTACTCAGCAGCTGTTGGGATATGCCTCAGCAATCCTGGGGTATGCTTTAATATGTAAAACAGCTACATTAGACAGAAACAACAATATACCCTGAGCATTAGTTAGTTTCATACACTCTAACTATAATATTTGGTTTCACAGTTTTACTGCTGATAAGAGCATTTTATTGGAGTTTGAATTTGAAATTAATGTGGGGTACTTATATGTAGAAAATAATAGATGGATGCATTTTTCTAATTTTTTCATTTTAACTATATATATGCTAGATACAAGCCAACCTCTTGTAAAGGGGAGATATAGAGAAAATATGTATAGCAATGGTTCAGCATTGTACCAGTTCATTTTGCCAATACATAATATAAAATTAATTCATAATCAAATGGAACTTTTGTGTTTCCAGTTCGACAAGCACAACCTCTGTCAACCAATCAAGTAGCGAGGCAAGCACGTACCAAGAGAGCTTCAATAAAGCCTACACTTCGGATGAGGAGGATGCGCCACCTACCCTGCCCCCCAGGAACTACAAGCCACCTGCTAAGAGCCCAAAAAATCAAGAATCTTCTCCAAACATGCCTTACAATCAACAGTATAGTCCAAAATTCAATGAGCAGTATAGTCCCCAGTCTGATCAAAAGATGTCACCAGGGTACAAGGATTCACGGCCACCTAGTGGTGGTGAAATCCGTAGAGATATGTTTACGAAAGCATATGAGGATTCACCAAGGGAAGCAGCGTATGCTGACCAGTTGCGGAGACAATATCAGCGATTGTCACAATCGAGACTTATCCCTGCAGTTACCACTCGCTATCAACAGGGCTCAGACACTAAAACAAATGTTGTGAATTCACGCCCAGTTGATTCACAGCCTGTCCCCTTGGAGGCAAGGCAACCCCCTGTCCCCTCCCCCAGCCAGATCTCTCCTGAGAGACCACCCCCCACTGGGTACTACAATGCTTACAATCACCCTGGGGGACAACTCCGGGACAGCACTGGGAGCAATAGTAATCCAAATAGTCCTAATGACAGTTTCGAATATAATGAAGGCAAGCAGATTCCAGAGCCAATGATTGCCCCTACCCCACCCCCTAAGGATACTAAACCACGTAGCAATGACCCTCTCAGACCTCTCCCAAGGGCAAACAGCAAGCAAAAACTACCGGAACCCCAAGTTTCTCCCACACATGCTCCTCCACCTCCTAAGAGGGCAGAGGACTACCACCAACCTCCTCAGGATTCTCCTCTGACCCCCGGAACACCAGGAACCCCTGACAGCGTTTTCGGCGAGTCCTGCCAGCAGCAGCAACCAGAGCCAATGACAGTTCCAGTATCAACAACCATTGGTTCAAACCACTCGTAAGTTTCATTTCTTTTGTTAATTATCAAAGTTTGCATGCTTTTAGTTGGTCATTTTATTGATAGAGGGCAGCAGTATCTTTGATCGGCAGGGTACAATAAGAAGCTGAAATTAGAGAAAGGACATTTATTTTATAGTAAGAGAAAACAATCATGTGATCACATGGTTTTAAATAAGTCTGAACCTTTTTCTTGAAGAATGGACACGACCAAACATTTAATCAAAGTACAAGCTTGAGATATTTTGGATTATGTAAGGATTTTCCAGTCTCATATTTTAAGTTATGTACGTGAACGTACTTGGGAGGACTAGTTCATGCTATGTGTTTTGCTCTTCATTTAATTTCTCATTAGAAGTTAATTAGTATTCTGAAGGATATTGCATATCACCCCACATCGTCCATTTATTAAGTGCTGAAAGGTGAAGGCTGTTGACCTCATTCTGTTTAAGGTGCCCATCAAAAGTCAATTTTTAAAGATGATGCATTTAGGTCCCATTAACCCCATTGATGGTTTAAGATTCTTCAACCTTGTGATTTGGCTTCTCTGATGCTGTTGATCTTAAACCTCTTCTAGCTTATGTTTTTGGCTTATAGCTCATTCCCATTCCTTATCTTGATAGACCACCTTTCTGCAGAACATGCTGTCTATGGGAAGATGTTTTCTGCCTGTTCTGACAATCTGCTTTCTATTTCTATTTAAAGTGATGCTTTTACTGTTTTCCCAGCTGGGGTGTAAATTCTGTTAGGTAGCATACAATACATGTAATAGAGGAAACCTGCCCAAAAATATAAAAAATGTATGTCAGCCCCCTCCCCTTGCCACATTCTGATTTACCCCCAGTGTAAAAACAAAGCTAGATGAAGTGTTTTTTCTGTTAATTATATTCTATGCCTTTCCTCGGAAAATACTGTATGCATATAAGTGGTAATTTTGCCTAATCATTTAATTTGCCTATTCGGAAATTTGTCAGATTCGGAAAATTAAATGTCTGAAATATTATCTTCATAATGTTTTCTAATCAGAAATTTCTTGACATTAGAAAAATTAAAAGAAATGATATGTGACACTTATACAGTACTTCTTTAAATGAAATTCTCCTTTTTTCTTCCTGGTTAGGTTTCTGTATAATTTAGAGTATTGACGACATAAATGTTAGATAACTTGATTTTTTACCAATTCCATTTCTCCAGGGATTACTTTGCAATTTTAAAGCATGACCAGCATGCAGTTTTTCTGAGTGATGTGTTGAAATAATCAGGATTTCACCCAAGGTGGTCCTAATCTGAGTTAATCATGTAATTCATTGATTGAGATAAGTAATCATCCTGAACTGCTGTTTAGTTTGTACTACCTGATTTCGCGTTTGCATCTCATTCAAAATACTGTTGTAGACCATAGACCTTTCTTCAACATAATCATATTTATTTTTGAATTTATTATACTTTTTTCTATTTTATTATACAATATAGAGGGTTAAACTTAACAATAATGGTTGAACAAAATTTAATCTAATTATTTCAGTCATTTCCAAAAAAGCAATTATGGTATCATAAACCTTTTTGTGTATGTGTTTTTAAGCCCAAAATAAAAAGATAAAAAGTGAAATTTACCAAACACCTGACCTGTTTTGATGATGAAGGCAAAATCTGGCTTCAATGCTAAATAATCACCATGCCAACTCGCATCTGTCTGTCATACTCACCTGTCTTTTAAAAGGGTATTTTGGGACTTGAAAGAATAAATATGAACAACAATCTATCAAAACCTTCATTAACAATATTCTAGAAAGTTCAAATTATTTATCTCACAATTTGTTAGTTCCCATTTTACTAACTAGTGGAACTTATCAATGATATTTTCACCTGAAATATAAACATATACATTGTATTAAGTGCTCTTATGTGGATTAAACATACCATTTGCATGAGTTCAGTGGTGGCGTCTACACTTCCATGATAGGTTATATGCAAAAATGAGAAAATAGAAAGATAAGTTCATTTTCAGTTTATTGCCTTCTAACAATATGACATATTTTCTAAAAAGAGAGACTGAACAAATGCCACCAGGTGTCATAAATAAACACAAAATCAAAATGATCTACTTTCTTATTTTGTAATGGTGTCACTGACTTCTCTAAAGTAATTGATAATACACAAGTTTTGACGAAAGTTGCAGATTTTATTTCAGCTTATATGTAACCATTCTTATGAATATAATGTTAGATGTCTCCTCTCCTTAACACCCCCATCCTTTCCTACAAATGCAACCCCCTCTTTTTATTATTTATTTTAGGTTACTACTACTTTATTTTCATGCATCAATACATATCACAAAAAGTGTCAATATTATTTCTAAAATGCCATTGGGTGATCAGAAAGTATTGCTATCAAAAACTTTGAAACAAACATTGCCTTTATGGTAACTCCATAATGATCTCTAAATATATGATGAGCTATTTTAGTACAGATTTCAAACAACTAGATGCTTTCACCTTACAACCCCAAACCTAAATGCTGTTCTTTGTCTTCTATGTTGGACCCTGTTTCTCTAAAACTTTGAATGAAGTATTTGATATTCTTGCATTTATTAACAATTCAGAGTGTTCGCTGCATATCTGTGTACTCATTTTCTTGCTGTTCCACCTTTTTCCACCCTATTTTCCGTTTTGTAACACAATCATCTTTGATTCTTTCTTGTGGGAATGAGCATGGAGGCATCTGTTTCAATCATTCCCAATGTTGCATTCATGGAAACATCTTGCTGAGAGACTTTTCACTTTTTCAAAACACACTTCTGGACCAGTCAATTTGTTGAACATGCCAAAATGTTTTGCACAAATTTAAAATATTGTTGGTGATATGGGTGATAAAGCCATTGTTAGTATCAGGTACAGTAGTCGTTTTAAGACATAGATCTGGGCATTTTATCTATGATAAAAAATTACAAATTTAGTACATAATGATCAATCCCTAAATTCAGATTTTCACAATGTTGGCCTGCTGCTGAAATTCACCACCTGAGCCAATGTTTAAAATAACCCCTAAAACATATTCATTTTGCTCAATTTCTCAATAAAATTTGAATAAACAACCGCAGCTTCACGATTTCTATACAATTTAGAGTGTCACCTATATGTTTGTTTACTTTATTCCTTGCTGGTTCCACTCCTTCCTCTTCTATTCTCCACTTTAAAATGTCTGCCATATTGTATTTTCTTCAGCAGCAGTTCCAACTGATAAGGCTCCAGTTGATAATATCCCAAAATGCTCTAGTTGAATATCAGACCTTCTGACCTTGAGGGATGTTTTTTGGATCAACTGATAACTCAGTTTCCAGGATTATTACATTTGGAGATGTTTCTAGGACATAAACGGAAGCAATAAATGTATATATGGATACGATAGATTAGATTCGGGAGATGTATGATACACATCCTAAGATAAGTTTTGATAAACTTATTGATAGGCACTTTGAGGAGTACTCATTAATGAATGAAAATGAGTCATATTTTTCAGAATAATTCCAGGTACATATAAACATTTCGGAAACAGTATCTTGAACAAAAACTAAAAATTTTAGTACAGTACAAACTTAGTGCAGTATATAAACAATATTTATTGAATGTTTTGCAATTGAGGTGAGAGTTAGATCCAAAGAAATTATTTCAATCGATTGAGCATTCATTATATCTAATCGAGGAAATAACAAGATATTTATGTTGGAACTTTGAACATTGATAAAAGTAAAGCATTTATACTAAATAATTTCCCAATGGTTTATAAAAAGGAGAAAGGATTTTACTCCAATATGATTCAGCGATCTAAGACCTTCATCTTCCAGTAAGTATTCAACTTTTTGATCACCTTCATAAATGAAATTATACCAATGAGATCATTTAAAAATTATTGTTTAAATTTTTCAACAAGCGTAAGGAATATGACAGCCCAGGTTTTGTTTTATTGATATCCTTACCCCTTCCTGTAAAATTAAAACCAATATAAGAACATTAAGTTCTGTTTATTTTCCTGAATATAATTTGTAATAACTTTTAGAAGTGAATACAGTAAAACCTGTCTAATTTGAATGCTACTGTGATCAGCCAAAAGTGTTTCGAATTAGCAGGTGTTCACATTTGAGGAATATGTGAGTCAATGCAAGATGACAAATTTGGGACCAAGAAAAAGTGTTCACATTGAGAGGTGTTTGGATCCAAGAAGTGTTTGAATAAAAAGTTTCTCTGTACATTTAGAAATTTAAGCGATGTTGAAAGTTAATATATAATCATTTTATATCATTTTATATCATTTATTGACTATTCAGTGATGTCATAACTTATCTTCATTTCATTGGTCAGCCATTCTTCTCGATAAAAACCACTTAGATAATTTATTGTTTTGACGCCAATGATTTTAAATCTTAAGCTATAACCGTCAAACTGAACCCCCACCAATCATAATTACAGTTTATGTCAATATATCTATATATGGTATAAACACACAACATATAAGTGAATCAGATGTAAAGGAAACTCTGCTTGGCTTATCTTAATTTCGTGTCATTTTAAAATATTTTAAATATCTTGTGTCCTCAAATAATATATTATTGTACATCACTACATGGATTTACTTCAACTGAATAAACATCTATGGTATATATACAGAATATAATGATGATGACAAATATTGAAGAATTTGAGTGCTAAAATGCTACTGTTTCAACGGTAAGTTTTTTCAAAGTAGTTAAATAGAGGTTAATTCTATTCATATTTCATATATGTTTGGAGTATGGTTTTAAAACAACAAACTTTTGAAATTTCTAATGTTGTGGCTAGTTTTGTGTTGTGGGTCACACAGAATTCTCTGGTTTATTCTTTTTACTAGTCATGAGTGAACAAAAGACCCGAGTGCATGTTTAGATAAACACCATCTCAAAAGCTATATTAGTACATATATTATCATCTGCTGGTACCACTACATACTGTAAGTTTTCATATATTT